TTCTGGGACTTTTTATTTTTTTGGTTGAACTTAAGGTTAGGGTCAGGTTAAGCCTAAGCAGGAAAGAAGGGAGAATAAAAGTACAAAACAAGTCAGCAGTGTCTTCAAAAACACCACCATTTGTTTGACTTCCTTTATGCGTTGCATTTTCCATCATTAGTAAAACATTGTCATTGTTGCCAACAGTTAAGAATTGAGCAGCTATAGACAGTATGTACACTGTGAGTACTACACGTGCAGTGCTGTAAACACCTGCTGGATACTGAATGGTATATACAAAAACATAACCTATCTGCTGGTGGATTTGCACATCCAAAATTCATAAACAATATAATATTTACATCTTTGCTAGGGCTGCAACCCACCCAGTGGGCCACACGTGGGTTTACATTAGATACACTGGAGTGGGCTAGCATAGAACTTTTATACCTACGTCGAGGCCCACTGAGTGGGACAAGCCCGTACAGAGTCTACAGTCTTTGGTGCCTCACGTACTTGCATCAGTCCCAGATTCATACAACACATACAGATTGTGCATCAGCGAACATGACGTAAAGAACTGAGCTAAAGTTTGCATTAGTTACATATCAGTTATGGTTTCTTATCTGTCAACAGTAGCTACTACACATAGTGTGCTATGCGGAGTATATGCACTTATTGTATCTCCAGTCTGCTTCTGCTTCTACAGCATATGACACACGAGCAGGGCAACAGAAACAGAGACTTAGATGCTGAGGATTAACAAGAGCCTGCAGGGCACGAGAGAGAGAGAGAGAGAGAGAGAGAGAGAAAGAGAGAAACTCACTGCAATTACACAAAGACACCACTCACTTTTTGAATATATTGTTGGAAAAACTAAGACAAATTAAACATGACACTTAGCACACTGCCCCTAGTGGTGAAGTGCAGTCGTATTATCACCAGGTGTAGGCTGTTTTTGTGGAAGACGATTGTAAAATACAGTTTAATGATTGAGTGCATTAGGAACCAGGAGACGTGGATGGTTTCTATTCCCTTTGGTTTGACATTAACATATTGAACATGCAGCTGTGAACATGGACCACGTCACTGTCGAGAGAATCTCATCCTAAATGTTAATGTTCAGATTTTCAAGTCCAATCCAGATTGTGATTCATGTCAAAATTATATTTACTTGAAAAACAAGGAGAATCTTGATCTGAAAATTTCTGTTTTTGTTTTGTTTTTCAAATTACAAATGTTTCTGGCTTCTTTGAAAAAAGACTGAAATTTGTCGTTTCTATCTTTGTTAAGGTTTTTTTTTCAGTTCTTTTACTGGTTGTTTGTGCTTCTTTGTCTTTATTTAAGAGGGACAAATTAGTACTACTAGCAGTACTACATCATGTCTTTAGTTCCACTCTCATCCTCTTTGTTCTTTGTACCGACATGTGGATTCACCACTTTCTTCACTCCTCTCCTCTGAGCCAGGGTGGACGACTGGACGGGCTCCAGGACAGGAGCAGGCATGATGGTTGTCAGAGCCGAGTAGGTCGCTGACAGTGCCCCCTGGTGGAAGACATAGATATACAATTATTTTCTTCAGGACCACCATTGCTGGACATCACTGTGGTCGTGGAAAAAAAACAGTACCATCTTGTGGAAAATGTAGAGTTACCACGGATATACAGTATATTAAGAGTTTATTCATATATCCAGATATTTCAAAAGTCTCATTCAAGTCAGGAAAATAACATTGGGAATATTTTATAAGCATTATTATCCATTTCAATTTGATATTAATAGTACTATTTGTTAAATATTTGTTATTTCGCTGGTTTTTAGTTAAATAGAATTCTGAATTAACCCAATAAGAATAAGAGCTTTAGTAACATTCACTCGTATCAATCAAGTGTACTGAATTCTGACATTTTTGTGTAAAAAAAAGTGCATAATGTGAATTTTGTCAATAAAATTTGACCTTGACAGCGTCTACATCGTGTCGGCTGAGAGGTTTTTCCGAGAGCTGGTCTCTATCAGTAATCCAAGGATGATGAAGAACCTGAAGAAATTATGAACAGTTGAAATCTACCAGATACTTTACTGACATTTATTTTAAAAGATAACATAATGCAACTTCAATACTTTGTGGTCACGTTATGATGAAATGATACCTGTGAAGCAGTCAGACGCTGATGAGGATCCACGTGAACCATTTTAGCCACAATGTCCTGTCCAATGTGAAAAATGAAGACAAGAGAACCTTATATTGGTTGGACACAAGAACAGTTATATGAGTTTCCATCCACAAAGACAAATATTCCTTTCTAACCTTGACACCGTCTGACACTAGCTCCCAGTTTCCTCCAGTGGTCATGAGCAAACCACTGCCAATCCGAGTCAGAATCACATCTGCTTTGTCATCAGCACTACTGGCAAATGGACTGACACTGTAAAAAATTAATAATAAATTCACAGAAAGAAATTCAAGTTTGGATCATTCAAAGCAACAAATGAAGAGTTGTGCAAGAGTGTGTTGACCAAAAAATTGGCCAGTCGACTCGACGATTAATACAAATTGCAAATTACTGTATTTTTAATCATTTTTGAGAAACTTTTATTTTTGAAAACTTTCAGGAATTTATTGGTATAGGATTCTACTGTGATCAAAAGTTGACGTACCAAAAAAGTTTATTTTTTCTGAATTTTAACAACAGAAATGGACATAGCTAAGT